GTGGGACTTGGATCGGGCTATCGCCGAGTCTCGCCGGCTGCATGGGGATCTGTCGGTGCCCGCCGATCAACGCTTGTCGCCGTTGGACGTGCTGCTGTTGCAACAGTCAGCAGTTCATTCGGCCGACGGGGGTTTTCCGGATGCTCGGACCCGTGCCCTCGCGGAGTTGTCGTCGATGCGTTCTCTAGACGCAGACCTCCGGTTGGTGAACTCGCTGGAGTCCCTGACAGCATCGCGGGACGTTGCCGACGTGTGCCGCTATCTGGGCGCCATTCTCCTGGCTATCCACCGGTCTGAGGGCGAGAGGTCGGGGTTCTGGGAAACGCCGGAGGGTTTAGAGCGTCGGGCCGCTGAACGAGAGGTGTATGCGGATGTGTGCCGTCGGGACGGCCTGAGCTTCGACATGATGGACCTGGATTAGGCTTAGGCGGATCGTTGGTCGTCTGTCGGCGACATCGGCCAAAGTTCCCCGTCTACTCGGGTCTCGGCGTTCGGGTATCCCCATCCTTTCGTTTGCTGTCGTCGTTCGCGCGCCTTGTCAAGTCGGCCCCCTCTCGTAGGACTTCCCCGTTGTGGTTCGGACTATATCTTGTTTCCTTTTTGTTCGTGTTTTTTTTTTTGTATTTTTTTGCAATCAACCACTCGTCTTGTGCTCGTTCGTCGCGTGGTGGGTAAAAACAGGAGATTTTTATTATTAGGGGCCCCGAGGCCCCGCCAAAGGTTAAAATAGAGCAGATTATGAGAGGAATAAGGATGGCCCCCAGGGCCTTCGTACGGAGGGAGGTGTGCCCCATTTCATCAGGCAGAGTGTGCCGGCGGCCCGGGGCGGTCTGAGACGATTCGGATCGGGGGTCCGGCCGTACGCGGGAAGGGGCGGTGAGTTGTTGAGGCGTCGGCGCTTTGCGGCGGGCCCGGCACCATGGGCCGGGCAGGCGTGTTCCATGTGCCGATGGTGTTCGTCCAGGGAGACCCGCCTAGGGGTGCCCCACTTCAGGGCGGGCTCCTTTCTCCCGTAGAGGACGCGGTTGAAGACCACGGGTTGGGCTTCGAGGGTGCGTCCGTATAGGTAGGCAAGGGAGGCGATGACGATAGCCACTATCGTAGCCCACGCCGGGAGTGCGATGACGGTGGTAGTGTCCATTCTGTTGCGGGTGTAGGGGGATCGCTTAGATTCTGTCAGACTGCGGGTCGGGCCGTGCAAGGACTTCTCCTAAGAACGCGCGCCCGGAACAGAACAGACGGGTAGTCGGGCCCACAAGTACGGCGGGCGGGGTAGATCGAAACCGAAAGGGCCCGTGAACTCGGTCCCTTGCCGTAGTCGGTGGTCGAAGGTTCGAATCGGGTCGTGTCGGGCCCGATGAGTCGATAGCGTCTCCTCGCACAGAGTAAGGTAGTTCTTCAGACGATCTAAGCGATAGAGTACAGGGTACACTATCGCGCCTTATATACGCGGGCCCGCAAAGGGGGTGATCGGACACCCTGGCCTCTCCTCTTCCTCCTCGCTCCCGTTCCTGGCCGCAGAGGGGACGATCGTACATCCCTTGCGGGCCAGGCGCTACTCCTGACCTCCTAGCACTCCTCCCCAGTCCCCTTGTGTCGAGTTGGGCTCGGCGACGGCTCGACGCGTCGTTCTCGGTCACGTGCTTCCCACGTGTGCGTTCCTCCTACTGGGGCGCATGTTCCCCGTCGTCACGTGCTGTGTGTTGCGGGCCCGCAATGGCCCGACACCAGCGCCGGAGCGGACGGGCCGGGTCTTATCCGTGACACTCGGTTTGTGTTCCACCTTCATAGTCTGAACCACTGCTCAACCACCCCAGAGGAGCTGTTGATTGACTTTCAAGAGATTGTTGGGGAGCATTCCGGGGAGAACATGGCAGATGGTGTGTGGAATTGCTTGGAAAAGTACGGGCTGGAGAACAAGGTAATCTTCGCCGACGGTTTGTACATCTGAATATACACTGGAGACTAGATTCTCGCCTTCGTCATGGACGACGCGTCAAATAACGACACATTAATCAACGCCATCGAAACAAAATGTGCGATTCGTGGAATCCCGTTTGACGCAGCTGCAGCACGAATTCGCTGCCTACCCTGGCTGCGGTTAGGGTAGGTATATCTGCAATCCATTTACAAGTTTTGACCTGCATTTGCAGTTGCTGGAGTCAATCGGGGCGATCTCGAAATCAGATCAAAAGAAAGCGGAAGGTCGGAAAGCAGGTGCAGCATATCAAGACTCGGTCACCGCACCATTAGCTCGCGAGGCCGACAGTGAGGGAGAAGGCGATGGGGAGGACTCTGATGATGAAGAGCTCAACGACATTGGGACGTCTGCCAGAAGAGCGGCAGCACCCAAGTACCAACCTGTTCATAAGGCAAGTTTTGTCCTGATGTGAGTCCAGCCGCTCACGCTTTCTGCTTAGCTTCGTCAGATTATCCGTGCCATCCGCTCGAGTCCCCAATGCCGTCAGGAATGGCTCACCGAAGTCCGTGCCTCGGAAGATTTCAAGGAGGGGAGGCTGGGAAAGACGCCACTCCGACCTATACTTGATATCAAGACTCGATGGTTGTCGACCCATGTAATGACACATACGCAATTGGAATAATAGCTTATTTCATCCCATGCTTAACTTCTGAAGGTCGACAAATTGATTACCGCAAGTGTCAGGGGAACCCCCGCTTCGGCCTCCTTCGGACCCTCCGAACGCATCCGAGGCGCATCCGACCGGCGCCCCCTCGGACGCTCCGACCCACCCCGACCATCATCCACGGCCTCCTTCGCCCGCACAATCACCGATCCGTCAAGACCCTCCCAACGATCACCTTGGGACAGAGCCTGCGACGCCGCTCAGGCCTTCTGCGCTCTACGTCGGCAGTTACGGACGACCAGTATATAGTTGGCGCCCTAGCAGGCGGACCCTTAGAGTTTCTTCTCTTTGGATCCTCCCCTGCTAGGTCGGTCCCTCCGTGTATTTCCTGTAGTCTTATTCACGCTTTGGATCCTCCCCTGCTAGGCTTTCGTCGGAGTCTCCAGGGTTGCCCTTACAGCAAGCCTACTGATGATTTTGTGGGCAAGCACCGTGAACTGCGCCATCTCGACCTCGACGAAGATGACTGGGACGGCGTTATTATGGTAACTGGCTGGCTCAAATCGTTCCGGCGCAGCAACGATGGATATGTCTGCCACGAAGCGGCCAATGCTGTCCCATACACAGACTATCTTCCGTGGCCTACAAGACGAACTGAAAACGGCCATTCAGGACCTTCCTGTGTCCACGCCGTCTGCCTTACGAAACGGCCTCATTGCGAGCCACCGAAAACTGTCCCATTATTACTACAAGATTGATGCATCGCCATTTTACACATGGGCTGCTCGTGGGTTGTAGCCGTGCTTGTGGCCGAGGTTACTGATATTTTCACAGTCCTTGACCCTCGTATTTCGTAGCGCTCTCGGCTCAAGCCTGAAACTATCAGCACACTGATGCTGGTCAAGCAGCGCTTGCGCCTTGTGCGCGATGCAGTCATAGAGATCAGACTTTTATATTGCGCATACTAGTTACATACATGGTCCCTAATGAAACCCGTACCCGCTTTCGTGCCGTTACGACCCGTCCCGTTGACCGTCCCATTTCCATCAGGCTCCTTGACCTAGTCTTGGACGGCCGTCTTGTCAACGGCCGCTGCCGTTACGGCAACGGTCAACATCCCTAACAAGTCGATATAGCCCTACAGGCAACCTTGCGGGATGTTATAGATGGGGTACAACTGGTGGAGAAGCCGTCTCCACCAGGCGACTTATATAGACACATAGTACATCATAGATTATAATACTGCCCATGTGCTCGCTTGTCACCAAGTTAGGGCTTGGTTTATATAGGGATGTTTGTAAACCAGTTTATAAACACCCCTGTTTTATTTGTTTATGAACAGGCATTCTGGGAAGAGGGTGTTTGTAAACAATGTGACACTAGTGTGACAGTCAGCCAACGTGTGACATCTCTGCCATCAAATCCTATGCTATAAAATTTGGCTGAGATAGTAGATATTGAAGGGAAACTTCTAAGCCTCACCTGGCACCACTATTAGTAGTATTTCACCTTGACAAACATATGAAAATTATATGGCACCATTGGGCTGCTTAGCCTGAAGTGTTTATAAAACCTAAAAACTGGTCTATAAACAGGGTTTTGGGGAGATTTTTTTATAAACCATTTGTTAAGGGCAAAATTTTTATAAAACCAAGCCTTACGTCACCAGTGCAGATTTCCATGCACTAACATGAATATACATATATATATATATATATATGTAGCAAAGACAAAGAGATCCGCGACACATCTGCGTGCTGTGGCACGTCTTGGGCTTACCTGCATAGACTGTGTTTGATGTTTCAAATGCCTCTATTTCAGCAGGTCACAGGTTCACAGTCAAAATTTTTGGTCCCAAAGTGTCCCCATCAGGGAGATTTCAAATTTTCCACCCCTGCGGCGCGCCGAATTTCCTAATAGGTCATGCGAAATTTGGCCTGTGGCCGAATTGAACATTTCGGCCAAATGGTCACAGGTCACAGGCCCGCTGAATTGATTGAAACGGGTCAGTACTACAATACTATGATTATAAGGACTTGGTCCCTATTGTCTTTGCAAGCCACAACATTTCCGCTTCATCGGACATCCAGAGTCAAATTTTTACGTTTGCCCCGCATCATGATATCATGCACCCAGGGGCTTATGGAGCAAAAATAGCATAGGAAGTATATATATATATATATATAACCTACGCCTTTTCATTCCCTGACTTGCCAACTGATGCACCTTTAGTCAACAATCCTAGAGCTCCGTTGGACCCTTGCTCATTACAAAGCCTTCTGAAATACTTACGGAAATATACAGATGATACAGATATCGAAGCAAAACAACAAAATAGCGACTCGGAATGATCGAACAAGACTAACTAGCTACATGCAAGAAAAGAAAGGAAATTTCAATTGAATTGGTGTCCAGTTATAACGAGGCGAGATTTTCGTATTGCTGCTGTACGCGGTTGGTGAAGTAGTCTATGGAATAATCAGCACAACACGCAAATGCGAACAGGGCACGTACCAAGGAGAGGACAGCGCAGGGCCGAGGCACGCATGACGTTTAGAAGCGTCTCAAGCGCGCCAAGTAGGTCATCAGCGCTCCCACCCGCACCGAAGCGCAAAGCTAGTGCGAACTCTCCCAGTAGAACTTCGGCCGCGGCGCTCCACAAGACACCGAGGAACGGAAGCGCCGCAATGCCTGCATCGTCCCGGTCGGCACGCAACTGGTGAGAAATACCAACCGTGCCTAGTGCAGCATCGAGCGCTTTCCGGCGCGAGCTATCGGAGGCCGCCGCTTGCGGATGATGCAATCGAATGATCGCGCCGCGAACCAGAAGCTGCGTAAGGTTGTTATTGTCCTTGGGCGGCATACTAGTACCGAAGCGGTCAATTAACTGGTCCAAAAATACGAACGCGCTGGCAGCGTGGTCGTCTTGCGGGAAGCCTGCGCAGCAATCAGTGATTAGTAGGCCGTTCGGACAGATTGCTGTTACACACCGATATATCGCGCGGAGATGGATACAGCTTTTTCCAATAAGATGGATGCCTGGGCCACCTGCGCCAGGGAATGTGGCTGCGGCGGATCGAGTTCTCCGTCGAGGAAGCGTGATATCGGCGAGCGAGTGGACGCCGGACTGTGAGGCTGGGGCTGATATTGCGGTGCCGGGTATTCGACCATAGAAGACGGCTCGTGTAGGTTGTTGTTGCTACTGTACGCTGGGAGCGGCAGCGACGGGATATTGTCGTAGTCGCTGAATCCATTCGTCGGCGAATATAGCCAGTCATCGGCTGACGGCCTGCGCGTAAAATGGTGTTCGTCGCGTGGCCAAGGTGTGTTGACTTCGGCAGAAGACAGGGCGGATGCGCCTGCAGCAGGGCTATGTGCCACGGACCAGTGGTTGGAGACGATGAGCACGGTCCAAAAAGCCGCAATGCGTTCGCTCTCCGAAGGTAGGTCTGGATCGGGGAACGGGGACGATACGGGATGTGTGAGATCGAATGGCAACGGTGATATTGTGGCGAGATTCGAGCTTGAGCCGAGCCGATGCAGACCGGCGCTCAGAGCCAGGGAGACTGCTGCACTCGAGTGATATGTCCCTTCGACGGGCCGACCGAGTGTTAGGTAGTACAGTGCGAGTAGTACCTCCGCCTGAATCGAATCGAGCAGCACCCGGGAAGAGGCGCTGCCCTGACTGCGGCTGATATCGGTGTGAATGTGATGGAGTGCCCGCGAAAGAAAGGTCTCTTCATCGCCAGCAGAGGTGAGATGCTCGCCCCACATGAATACGGCGTTTAGTAGCGCAGGCGATGGGCGAATGGGCCCTTGGATAAGCTGTAATGCACAGCGTCGGAAGGATGCAGGTGAGAGGAAGAAGCCAAAGCCGGCCTGCGAAAACGCGGAGAGGAAAGTATCAATGCTGGGAGACATTAGCGTCGAGGACCCGGATGGGCAGGGTAACCAACGCACAGCGAAGTCGCAACCTCATGTGAGGGTTCATCTAACTTCGTTCTTGACGAGCTCGACAGCGATATTGGGCTATCTATCCGACTTGTTGCTAGAGAATCATGAGAGACCATAGAGCAGTGAATGTCGAACGCACGAGAAGTGGACCTAGGGGACGCCGACCAAGAGTCGAGGTACTTCGGCGGGCTCCCCAACGCATCGTCCAACCTCAACCTGACCACTGGCTCCTTCTCGACAACGTTGTCATACGGCTCGTGCAAGTACATACCACCCTCCGCGGCGGCTTCCAGTTCCCCAATCCTTGAATGTAGCTTCTTGATCGTCTCCTCAAGCTGTTGCGTCCGACTTCGCCCCTCGATGGGGTACTCGCAATCCTCAGACGTGCCTGGCGAGCGGCGGCATTGGCCACAGGCGGGTTTGCGCCCATCACATTTCTACGCGTCGGTCAGTAACAGCCTGAGCGCAGACAAGAAAAGGAAAACGACATACGATCTTGCGTCGTCTGGAAAGTGAGTAAAACAGCCGATCAGGGCCCCGGAATGAACGCCCGGACAAACTCACCGACACGACATACACGCCTTCCCGCGCGGCAGGTTATTCCGAAGAGCCGGACTCGTACTTGTGTAGCGGTTGGCGGGCATGGGGGCGGCGGGAGGGGGGCAGGTGGGAATGCGTCAGAAAATGGGCTCGCTCGCGGCGCCCAGCCGCCTGTTTATAAGACGCCAGTCAGTCAGCAACGCCCTGCCGCTTACACTTCACCGCTGTGAAAAGAACGCAGATCCGACTGATGGGGACGGCATCTAGAATGACAAACGCGTCGTGGGGCCGCGCCTGAGTTTTCAGCTGACGTGCTGACTGCGGAGTCGTGACGCGTGCGACGCAAATGTTGCCGCACCCAATCGTCGCCCAGCAACGCATCACCGAGGACAGCGGGAATCAACCGGTGATCGCTGTTCGATCGCAAAGGCTAACCGGTTTGTCAAAGTGGCACCGTAAAACGATCACGTGGGCGGCATCGGAAGGGTCCTGCTGGGGATAGCGCGGATGAAAGGCCCAAAGTTGGCAGACACTCTTCGACACCTGCTGCGAGGTCCCTCGCTGTTGCCAGTCCGCCTCCAGTTGATCCGTTTACCACTAGTAAGAGACTGCGTTTCGATCTGGGATCGATTGCCAGTGGGCACAAAAAGACGAAGAAGCGCGACAATGGAACGCTGGGCGCCGACGTAGGAAGGGCCAAACACCGTTGATTCCACGATGTCGGCCGCATCAAGCTTCTCAGACGCATCATGCTTCTGAAGGCTGTGGCTCAGCACTTCCTACTGCGAAGGACGAAAGTATTACTGGCAGTTTGCGAGGGAGCCCGCAGCAGTAACCCGTCGGCTGCTTCGCTCGCTGATATGTCGCGCACCGCCTCAGCGCACTCCAGGAAATCACTCGGAAGGCGGAGGTGCCGACGGACATATTGGATGACGTGGTGGCGCGACAGCGCCGGTTAAACGGCGGAACATGTTTGCCAAGGGAGGCAAGATCGTCGTACAGATCCGCTGGAACCTGAGCATCGTTGTTCACTGAAGATTGTCGTAGTGGAGACGGGGAGCCCTCGACGCTTACCAGGCGGCGCTGGAGGGTGGTAAGCAATATCTTGAAATCACAGTTTTTCTTCCTCTTCCCGTGCCGCTAGGTAATAGAGATAAGCAGCTTGGCGGGAACATTAATGAGCCGGCGCGACGCACGCATCTGATACCGCAATCTTCCAAACTCCAGAGCCAGCCTGAGATCGCTAAGTATGAGATGGGCGCTCTGTGGAAATAGCTGTGTACTTCTTAGTGGCTTGCCTCAGTTTGGATCTGCAGGCATGTTTACCGCTGGCGAAACTCTCATAAGTAACGCAGTGACGTGGCCGTCGGAGAATAAGTGGGTCACGACACGTGGCATAGTCACACGCCACTGTCACTTCCTTCTCACTGTCACCCACGCAGTCGCGTCTGACGCTCACAGTCCATATGGCTCTCATCTCTGTGTAACTGTGGGTGGAGTAGGGCTTCAGTCGTTCCTGCCACCTAACTTTCAAACTCTACCTTAAATGTATAGGCCTTGATGAAGCTACGCCTCGTGGGGGTCCAGAAGATACTTGTTTTGACGGCCTTCGACCATATATCCTGGTCTACATAACCTTGGCATCGATGCGTCCACCGATATGTCACTGCTTTCCATGAATTCGACCAAGGTACGCGACTCCCGGGCGTTGTCTTTGCTGACGCCTTCCAGCGTTACCTCCGAGTCTTGTTTTCCTTTCTACGCAACAGTCTTCGCCCCATGTTTCGGATAGTCGCCCTCAATCGTAGCATGCGCGTCGTCAGACCTATTAATGCGTCGTCGTCGCTGCAAATTTTAGCCGGGAACATCTATTCCGTCACAGAAACAGGCGTCACCGTGGACGACAACTTCTCCCGACTCCTCATTGTCGAATGTTTAGCCCGCATGTTGCACAATGCCAGTGACAATAGGTAGGGTGGGTTAGAAGTTTACTTCGACCGACTCTGCCACAGACCCTTCAATTCGAGCGGTACTTTGCCCGTCATATTCGACGACGACATCGCGACCAGAGGAACGTGGAACTTCTTCCGAGGTATGTCATATTGGCCCGCATCGGAATACGAAACTGATTCTCTTCCTCAAGGACTTCCCGTAGGAACTACACGAGGATATCCAGACGACGTCGATACGACATGCTACGCGCTCCGGGTCCTCCCCATCGACCCCATCATCGCCAACGGCGTTCTGGACCGGATTCTCGCCTTCACAGAAAGCCACCCCGACAAGATCATCCCTGTGTACTTCCCTGAACATTGCGGCGATGACAATTCGTCTCGATGCACCATCCTCGACCCCATCGTTTGCGTAAACGCGCTGCGCTGCTTCGCCCACTACGGCCGCTTCGATGAGCCCTGTCTCGCGCCGACCAAAGCGTACGTGGGGCATGTTCTTCGCGAGCCAGCGCTTATGCTAGACGGAACACGGTACTACCCGTCGCCCGATGCTCTACCGTTCTTCGCATCGTTGCTCGTGACGGAGCTTGAAGCTCGCGGGCCGGTGCATGAAACCTTCGTCCAGGCGACGACTCCCCTCCTCCAAAACTATCTTGTTGTCTCGGCGGAGGCACTTGTTGGCGCGTCAGTTGACCCGCTGTCGGTCGCGATGCACTTACTCGCGGCTTATTCCCTTGGTCTGGAGATCGACTGCAGAACTGTACAGGCACTTGAGGCGGCGCAACTCGATACCTCCGCGGGCTGGCTCTGTAGATATGGCCGGACCGGTGTCCGTATCGCGAACAGGAGTCTCACCCGGCTGCTCGTTGAAGAAGCGCTTGGCCGTCGGGAATGTTCCGTCTTAGAGGCCTTTCTATGGTAACCAGCTATCAGTTTAAGCTTCAAAACTCTGATGTATTAATACAGACGTTGAAAGTATCAGATATACTTAGGTATCGAATTGTGCATCCGTAATTGCGAAGCATCATTCCACAAATGCTTATTCCTTCCATGCTATACGCTCACCAGCCCTCCCCGGTATCCATCGCCTCTCCTCGCAGCCGAAATACCTCGCACTAGAACGACGATGACGGCGAAGGTGACCAATATCCTGGCAATCGTCTCAGGATGAGAGCAGGAATCGATCAATGCGCACCATTCTAGCCATGCGAAAGCCTCAAGGGCGTTGAGCTGGTCGCAATAGACGAAAAGCGACTGCGTCTTGCAGTTCAGCCCGCCTCCGAGCATCTCCGTCACCGCGGCGGCAGCGGCTGTCCATATCAGCCACGTCAAGCCCAGACTGACATGCGTGTTGAGTGAGCCGAATAGTGCGGAAGTGTTCAATACACACTAGAATAGATGGGCCAGAACGCTGGTGAGCACCGAGCCCGTGGCGGAGTGCGCGAAAAGAATGAGGAAGAGCGTGGAGAAAACGACCGTCCATGTCGACGCGAAGAGAGTGAAGCGCACACGGTCGCGCTCAGTGCCAGAGGAAGCGTTGTGGTGTTTATTGAACTGAGAGGTCAGCCACGCGGCAAGCGAGAGCTCGATAATTCCGAAAAAGATCATCAAGCCGAAGGTTACTGTCATCCGTCATTCACGATGCTGAGACAGCGGGAAACCGACGAACTGGGGTGCCCCCGGCGGACGTGGTGATCGATAGCCATAACGTAGATGTTGTGGTGCTTAGTCGTCGAGGTGCGTGGAGAGGTCGTGGAAGTCGAAAGCCGATTTTGAGTGACAGCTTTATACTCCACGGACCGCTGATGTCATTCATTTTACCGGGATGACGTCATGATGAGCACTGGATTATTCGATCAGGGAATGGCACTGGCATCCTTGGAAATTACTTTCTTACTTCGGCTCAGGGAACGATGGCACAATTGTAACTCGGAGTGCTTGAACTCTGCTTTGTTGCACAAGTTCAACACACTTACCGTTCCTTGCCAGCAATGTACATTGTACACTACACACTTTCGCGCAATGATTTCCAATTGCCGATTTCGGCCGCTTCGACCGGTCAACGCTGGTCACTCTGCCGAGCATAGCTACGTCGGGCGGACTCGGGCCGAGCTTCTCAATCTGATTCCCAAGCATAGGATTCCCCAACGGCGCGGCCGGATCCGGAGCCCAGGACCGGCACGGGAACAAATAAGCCCAATGTCGGGGCTCAATATATCCGTCGGAGCCTAATGATACTTACTACTTGTAGTGAGGCGATAGCAGACATCCGACGAATATGGAGTCGCATTCAGTCCTTATTCTGTTGCTATGGAGGGGCAGGGCTTTCACTATCTCATGTTCCGCCCTAATTCAAGCTTATCCTGGTCGAGTTCCGTGATGATCAACGGGCTTGTTTGTCACAGATTGATTCAAGTTCCGCCCTGATCAACCCGCCATCTAAAATGGTCATAGGGAGGGTTGAGAAGCTTGACACAACACCACGATGTCCGAGTCAGTCATGAACGGCACCCTTGACTTGCACTGGCAGCAGACAACGCAGACTTGCCCTGGACACAAGGGGGTATCAGGAAAAAAATAATGGAACATACGTTGGACTTTTTGTTTAAGCCCTTCCAGGGGACCCACCGACCGCGACTGTGACGTGACATTACCATCTTAGGAAGGTAATTCACACAGTCATGTGATCTGACAGCATCAAACTCAGTCAGTCCTCTGAATTTCCAAGAACATTAATAGAAACATAGACTTCTAGCTATATATATATCTTGTAGACAAAGTCCTGATATAGTCATTGTCTTACAAATCTCACTCCAGAGTACAGATATCCATCCCCATATGGTCTGATTTGTCACAATGTTCCATCTGATGATGAGATACTGAAAAATAACACTGGGGGCATTACCTAAGGCGTGCTGGAACACGCGGGCCGGCCGCAGAGCTCACCGCATACCTACCGCGGGCTTGCTCAGTGACAACTTTCTTTGTCCTAGGACAAAGAAATTCTTTGTTTCTGGGTCCGCGCTAGCAACGCGGCTGGCCCGCGGTAGGTACGAGGTCAGCCACGCGTTTGACCCGCGTGTTCCGGCAAGCCGTAGGCTGTGCCCCTAGTGTAACCACTTCTGAGATTGTTGATACTTAATTATAGATGTATAGTGCACCAAACAGTACTTGTAACCCATCCTAAGACAATTTTGACTTACCATTTCAGCCAAAAAGTTTCTACCAAAAAAATTTTTTAAGGCTCCGGAGGGGGGACCGACCGACCATCCCGGTTGTCACTTTTTGACACGTGACACCCCCTTGCCTGGACATGACGAAGCTGGAAACACATTGCATTTTGCGCGGGTGGACAGCTGTGGGGTACTCTTGTGTATCTATGGAGCAGCGGGGAATGTCCGACGGCGGCACTGGCATACAACGGTATGTCATGCCATGAGTGGCCGTGATATTGAAGCTAATGTGGAGTAACCAGCGCAGAACCTTTGAATGCACCGATACCAGGCATCCACATTATCATGTGTACGAACTTCATGCATACCAAGTTTCGAAGTTTAAGCTCTATCACAGCTCCTCGCTGACTCAGACATCTTCAAACATTTTTTCCACTGTAACAACTGCATCAATCTGGACTTTCAGCACCTCAAATTCCATGCAGCCCTCTCAGGCTCTGTTTAGAGCCTTCACTGGTACTAGCTCTAGACACCATCATTCTTTGGGATCTGGCTCACTGGGTTTGAGTACCTTTAATATCCCACCAACACCCAGTGGAACAGGTGATAGGCCGGACCATACTATAACGCAACCCACCCGAGGAACAACTTTGAAGACAAGTTCATCAACTGGGCAGATGTTGGACTCGGAGCCCCCAATCATTATTTCTTCCACTGTTACAACCATTGTGGTCCTGACTTCTGAGTCTATTCAAGTTCCATTCTCCTCTCCCACCGCATCTGTCTCCAACATCCAAGTCGATGGATGGACTGCCAGTGCATCTTCCCATCCCATAACTGAAATGGTTGGCCTTGCCATTGGACTCGGAAGCCTTGGCCTCTGTCTGATCTCTGTGATCCTCTGCATCAAATTTCACACCTACCGGCAGCGGAAGCATACCGCTGTCCAGTTGCCCTTCTGGGACCCTTTGTTAGCTGTAGCTACGCCGCCACCACACGCTGCCACTGCAAACAAAGGCACCCCAAGCTTCTGCTTCACTGCGAAGTATCAGACTGCATGAGCGAGTGAGGGCACTGGAGCAGATCTATCAGCGGCAATGGCAATCTGCGGAGCTACCTGGTTATACAGAACATGTTTGATAGTATGAACATGGATTTGGATTGACATTATTCTCTTTGTACATACCAATGACCTTCAGCACATTTATTACTAGTACTCACATATTTCTTTGACTTTGTATGGACACACTGTAGTGTTTTACTGAACAATTGAATGTCACATATTACATTATTTGTAAACTTTGCATTTCTCACATATCACACCGGTTAGCTAAAAATCCCACCCAAAAGAAGAGGTAATTTCCAGGCATTTTTAACATTCTCACTTTCCGGCCAGCTCCGCCAACACCTACCAGTTCTACTTATCCTTTTATGTTAGAATGAATGGCCCAGTGGCCCGGGGCTGCACATTCTAATATAAAGGGATAATCCCAAATACCCTATGCTGCAATAAATACCCCAATAATTCTACAACATCTCTAAGTTCTCAAGTCCTCTAGCGCAAAAGTTTCTTCTATGCTGCTATCACTGCAATAATTCACTGCTGTCTAAGTTAGTTTCCTAAATTAGCAGGTATGACATATGTGGTGATGATAGTCACACTTGCTCTACTAGTCACATATAAGCAAAAACTGCAAAGTATATTACTGTAGTGTTTTAATCAATCTAGTGCCCAAAAGGTGTGTGACATCGGTGCCAAATTTGAATTTTCGGCATCCACGGCCTCCCAGCATGACCACCAAGATTTTTTGGCACATTACAGCGAGGCCCGCAGGGCCGTGCTGGCTAAAAATGGCCAATTAGCTGGGCAAATTTGGCATCTGGGGCTGTTGCGTGTGACTGCCGAAAAATTTCGGCGTTGTCAAGGCAGTGTGACGCATGACCACTGAACTGATTAAAACACTACAGTATATGAGAAGGTCAGATCCTAGTGCTTTGGTCATAATGTCACATAGTATGACAAGTATGTTTTAGGAATTTTGTCAGTTAAAAATTCATCTACATTGATGCTGCAATATCTCCACTATTTCCATATAAATCCAGAAGATTGTTGTATTAGTAGCCAGTTACCTAGGCTTAAGATGCCCTGATGTGATCGTAGTTGTATATGGTGACATCATGATATTATACTGCTTTTCTGCAGTTTTCACATTTCAAATTTGATTAGGCACAATGATCCCTTGATATCTTGCTAAGGAATTCATGGATCAGCATGATCCAAGTTGCATTCTGATCTAGTACATGTTCATCATAGATGAGAGGGGATAAGGCCGCAAGCGGCAGAGAGCCGAACCGTGACCCTGCTGAACACATCATGTGATCATTGTGATGCCGTCCCAATAAGGGCAATCAAAACACAGCCACTCCCAACTTGGGAGGCTGGTTTTCATCTTTACTTATAGAGCCGAAACTTCGGTTTGGCAATAAGTCCCTTCTACGCTGCCAATACCGCAATAATTCACTGCTGTATAAGCCAGCGTCCCACATTAGCAAGTATGATGGCAATGATCAGTAATATATAAGTCAAAAATTTCAAAGTATAATGTATGAGAATGTTAGATCATATTGTCTTGGAGACAATATTGCATAGTATGAGAAGTGTGACAAGCTCCAAAAAAATGCACTTATCAGTGACATTTGATTTCCATCACCTCTGAAAGATGATCATAGATCTCCAGCTAGCCTTGGTGGATAAAGCTAGATAAGCCCATCCTACTATCCTTGAGCTTTATCAGCTATGTTTTTTTCTCATCATTACCTTCTGAATACTAAGTAGAGCAGTGTTCTGTCGATATCCTGGGACTACATGCATGGAATCTTATGATCCAAGTTGATATAAAACCATAGGATGGTCTACCACATCTCTATTCATTTGTGACCACACAGCAACTGTGAGGGTCAGTCAATTCCCTGAGACCTTGGGTGCCATATATTTTGATTTTGTGAAAATGTGTCACATTCTCTGACTGTAAATGTGCAGGAAGTGCAATAACTAAGTAGAGTTAGTAAATAAGTAACTACATAATCAATATTACATACCCTCAGTCTCCTGCTATGTGGGATCAAAGACTGAGGGGGCAAACACAACATCTGTCTGTATATATGTCAAGTAAATGTACCAGGTAACCTTCGGGAATCAGTAAGGCTTTCACAAGTGTCACAGATAAATACATGTACTCTACCTGCAGGTAATTCAGGCTTCAAAACTAATAGCTGTATTTGTGGCATCCGTGGGCAACGGGTACCTTCACAGGTTATCCATGGGTATTTCTTATCAAACATCACAATACTAAGGTATATCAACAATATAAACAGCCTGAATAGGATATAGTATCAAGTAATACACTGCTATGGGTACTGAAGGACACGAGAGGACCACAGTGACTGAAACAGATATAAGATAAAAAGATTGGGATCTTCCAAAGTCACACCTGTACTCTTAGCATCCGTGAGAAACAGATACTCATATCCATAGATGTCAAACCCACAGATGTTTTCCTGCAGGTACTGTCAAACCCTGGGTTTAAAAA